ATAGCCTTTTCTCTCCTCCTTCCTCTTCCTTTAGCTGTCCTCCCCAGATGAAATGTCTGCCAAGGGACAGTACTCAGTCCATGTGGGAGAGATTCCCGAGGTCTGGGACCAATAAGGAGGCGCTAGAATAGAAACCAGAGCAAGTGGGTCCAGAGGCTACTCTTACCTCACTTGCTTTCTCTTGGGGGGGGGGGGGGAAAGCCGGCCAAGGAGCTCCTGTCGCTCTCCAAGGTGCTCAAACCACCTTTTATGTGCTCGGCGGCCATCCTGGCTCCCCACTTGGTCCGACCCGTTTGGGGGAGTTGTCAGCCCTCAGAATATCTCAGAGATTACTCCAGGGATTAGATCTAGGGCTCTCTCCCTATTCTCCTGGGGCTCTCCCATCTTTATAGGCTCCTAAGATTCAGAACTGGACTGTACCTTAGAGATAATTTAGTCCAATCCCCTTGACTGACGAGGAAGCTGAGACTCAGAGAAGTGACTTACCTAGGGCCACACACAATAAAAGGTCAGAGCTGGGTTCAAGCCTGGGTTTTCTTACTCCAGATTCAATGTCCACCTCCCCCCGCCCCCAGTATGCCTTGCTTAATCTCCGTTCATCTCATGTACGGTCAGTCAGAGGCCAGCTTTGCCCAGCACAGACCTCAGCCTCCCGATGGTGATGGTGGGGAGAGACAAGGACACGTGGCTCTGAGGCCCCTTCATTCTAAGGGCCAAGCACCGGCCTTCTCCACCTAGGAAGTCCTATAACCACCAGCCAAGGGAGAGCGGAACCAAACGTGAGCTGGCGATCCGGGTCGCTGGCCCAGAATCCTTATCCTCCCCACCTCGGCTGAAGCCCCCCGCCCACTGACCCCACCTCCAATTCTGGCGGAGGGGAAGGGGGACCCAGAGCGAGTCTGGGAAATGGCATCCGGCACCCTCTTCCTCCTCCTCGGTGCCCCGGCCTCCCTCCCCTAATACCGACCCCCGCCCCGTCCGCTACAGCTCCAAGGCGGGAGGGCCTTGCTCCTGGGGTGGGGTTAGAGGCTACTGTCCTGGATGGAGGAGAAGGGGATCCCCAGTTACCCCGGGATAGGCGAGGAGGGTAGAGTGCATGGCGGGGATGCGCGCCCTGGGCCCCTCGCGCTTCTCACCTGAAATTGGGAGGCGACACGATATGCAACCCCAGGAACGGGGAGACCCCGGGCGTGGACGCGGCGCCCCCGCCCCCGGCGCGCCCGCCGCTTTCTCGCTCCGCCATTCTCCCGCCGCAGCCCAGGCCATCCGGGCGGGCGGAGCGAGCCAGAGAGGAGGAGGAGAAGGGAAAGAAGGAGGAGGAGGAGGAGGAGGAGAAGGAGGAGGAGGAGGAGGAAGAGGGGGAAGAAGAAGAGGGGGAAGAGGAGGGGGAGGAGGAAAGAGAGGAGGGGGAGGGAAAAAAGGTGGAGGAGGGGGAGGAGAGAAAGGAGGAGGGGGAGGAGGAAAGGGAGGGGGAGAAAGAGGGGCAGGGGGAGGAGGGAGAGGAGAGGGGCGGAGAAGCTGCTGTTGTAGCCACCAGGCATCCGGAGGGGAGGGGGAGGAGAAAGGGGCGGGGCGCACCTGCGGAAGGCTCAGCCACACCTACAGCCCTGGGCTGCCGAGTCTTGGGGCTGGGCATCTGCAACAAGGTAGTACGGGGGCAGCCTGGGGCAGCCGAGAACTTGGTGGAGGCAGAGACTGGAAACGGTCCCAGAGTTGGAATTGGCTGGGTGGGAGGGACACCGAGGGACACGAAACGCTCTCTCCTCTCCTCCTACGCATCCCTGCAGCCTCCAATACCGCGGGGTAGCGCCGCTGCCGCTCTCCAAGGTGCTGAAACCGCCCTTTTTGTGGTTACCTACTATCCTGTTTCCACCCCCAACCTGTGCACTCTATTTTGGGGGAGTTGTCAAGCCTCAGAATATCTCAGAGATTATTCCCTTCCCTGGAAAAAAAATGCAGAATTACTGAGATTTAAAAGCCTGTTGTTTATGTGGGACCTTCACAGTCTCCTCCACTGAAACTCAGGTGGAGTGGAAAGAGCCCTAGGTACCTCGCCTCCACCACTTACTCTCCGTGGGACTCGAGACAGGTCCTTTTCCGGTCTGGGCTTCAGTTTCATCTGGGCCTCAGCATGTAAAATGAGGGGATTAGACTACACGTTCTCTAAGGCTCCTTCGTTTTGGGAGCTGTACATACAAAATGAGGAAAGGGTGGGGGGGAAGGGACGGGGTGGAGAAGGTGATCGGAATACATGTCTCCCAACTCGGATCCATTTCTTCCTCGAATACTTTGGATAACCTTTGGTCCCAGAAATCTGGACTCTATTATAGGCTCGAATGTTAGAGGCTGGAAAGGATCACAGAAATAAAATCTAATTACTCCCACTTCAGAGAAAAAAGTGGGTCTGGAGAGGCCCTGGAGCTGTAGAACTTGCAAGGTCCCACAGCTCATGGGGTAGCAGGGTTGACTCGAACCCAGATCTCTTTATTCCAAGGACAATGCTCTCTCCACTACATCAAGCTGCTCCTTGCCCTCCCCTGGAGCATCTTCTCCTGGCCCCTGAAGTCCCCTTCCCAGTCTTGGTCCTTTCCCACCTCCCAGCCTCCGATCAGCTCCAGACTAGGGACACTGTATCCTCTCTTTCCTAGTCCAAGTCTCCTCAGACTTCCCCACCCCCAAGGCTGTCAGCAATGTCTCTGATTTTCTCACCTCTCTGACTCTCTCTCTTAGCACCTCAATAGCTTTTGCTCTTTGTAAAGTGCTTCTCCCTAGGTTAACAAACTCTTCTTTGCCAGGGCACAAGCTCTGCCTCCTGGATAGCCACCTACTAATTTCATGACTTTCTGAGTTTCATTTCAGACTCTAGGGTTCTCCTACCCCTTAGCCATTTGAGATTATTTCTGTTATTATTTTTTCTTCTTTGAGGCCTCCACCGACACAAAGCCTAGGCTGAGTGGCTCCTTCCTGGTATACCTGCCTTGGCTCTCTCCTCTCCAGAGACTGGCACCTATGCTCTTTGGGCCCTGGGAGCTCCTAACACACCCCCAATGAGCTTCCTATGGAAATTCACCTAATGAGCCAGCTTATTACTGCGGATGCTGGCAAAGACCAGGGCCCCTGCAGCCTGTAACAGGCTCCAGCCCCACAGTTGATGGGGTTGTCCTGACCCAAAGATTATGTCCTGGATGTGTTATCTCAGCATCCACACCTCCACTCCTCCCTAAACTCCAGAACAGCCTCCTACTTTCCCAGGTTTCAACAGTCTGGCCCCAAGAAAGCATCTTGCCTAGAATTCCACCCCAATGGGCTCCTGCTAAGTACTAGAATGAATGCTGCACTTGAAGTCAGATCTGGTTTCAAGTCATTGTTGCTCATTTCTAGGGCCTTAGGCAAGTAACTACATCTCTCTGGGCCTTGGTAAAGTGAGGGGGCTGGACCAAAAGGTTCCTCCCACCCCTACCCCTAGGATTTCTGTAAGACTTGAATGTTGTAACCTTCTCATGTCCGCCTTCTGACACCTAAAAAAAGATGACAAAACAAGCCCCCCCCCCCCCCCCCCCGGGCAGCTTACCCAACCTTAAGTGACTAATAGGTGATGCTTAATAAAAGAGGGACTGGGGTGTTTGTTAGGATCCCCACTGCCTACTTAATGTGAAAACTCCTGATCCCAGCATTCAACTCCCCAAGCTGCTTTTTGGCCTCACCCCACTCTGCATCCTTTTAATCTATGCTACCCTCTCAGGTGTCCATGTGTTTGCTCATGGTCTCACAGCCAGAATGGGGTGTCTCCGAAGGCTAACTCAAGTGCCACCTTTTCCTCCAAAGAGCTCTCCAGGTGATGCCAACCTTGTTCCTAAATTTTCTCAGAGGATTGTCCTTTACCCTTGTGTCCACTTCATTCGGGGTCTTGTCCTTTCTACCCTCCGATTTGGGGCTCTGAGCTCCTGAGGGGAGCTGGTGTCCTACCTTAGCTTATGCAGCCCTGGCTTAGTCCCTAGTATATAATTGTGCTTAATAAACACTTGTTGAATTGGTTGCTTGGCACAAATCCCCACAGACACTGGCTCCATGGATGGAACACTGCTCAGAGCAGTCAGACCAAAAGCATCTGCAGGGAACATTCCTAGAATCCAACAGGCTGGGTGGCTCACTCTTCTCATCCTGAAGGATTAGGCCCTATCATTGTATTGCCGCTGGAACATCAGGGCCTCTTCCTATGGGCTTTCTCAGCCTCTGTAGGGAAGTTCCCTCTGTGGGAACCATGGCTGTCGATGATTATTTCTGGAGGTATGGGTATATAGGGTCCGTTCCCAGCCTGGCCTCCGCGCCCTGTGAGGTCTCTCGGAGGAAATGGGGAGGTGAAGATTTCTTTCCCTCCCAGCTCCATTCCCCCTACACATTTACGCCCTAAACTGGCCCTTCATGCTCTAGAATCCAGTCCAGACACAGATAAAAGGAAAGCTGGCCCAAGGCTGGTTTACAAAAGGCTATTGCTCAAAAGTAGTTCCAAGAGCGAGGGAAGGACACCGTCTTCCCCGCTGGGCTACACAGGCTTGGCATCTAAGGGGGCCAGTGCTTGGCCAAGCTGACATCACAGTGCCTAGAAAGTTGAGGGCTGAGTTGCCACAGCACTGTGCCATGGCACCACTGTACCAAGACCAGAAGCAAGCTGTCCTAATGGTGGCTGGGGACTCTCCCGGCAGGTGCAGCAAAGGCCAGCAGATAAGTGTGCTAAGACCCCACCACTCCCCGTGGGACTGCTGAATTCAAGGTTCTCAAGCTACAGAAACAGCCAGGGCTTCCAGGGACCCCTTTTCTGCCCCCTTGAGGGGGCTACAGCTCTACTAAAGGATCCTACCTTGGGCCCAGGCTTGCAACTAAGCAGAATTTGCCTCCCCCAACCCTGAGTCTGGAGAACAACTTCCTCCATCAGTCACGACAGCCTTGCCCACCCCCCACCCCTGATGGCTGCTGGACAGATGGCACGGCCACAGCACAAGCAAGGTCAGACGTTTATAAAACAAAAATATATTTTACAGGCAGACCACAGGAGAAACAACACACCTTCCAAACAACAGAAAGCAGCTTCTGAAGTCTCTGTACAAAGGGCACTGGGCCTATTGCCGTCAATCCCCATGGCTCCCTGAAGAACGAGCTGGGGAAAATCTTGGTGCAGTGGGCCCCAGAGGCCAGTCTAAGGTAGGGAGGGAAGGAGGGCTAATCCAGGCCTGGAGAAGGCTCATCCTGCTCCATCTGCAGCTCAGACTGGGGACGGGCTACAAATGCCAATAAATTAAGGAGGGGGTGGGGGGCAGAGGATTGGAGGTTTTGCTTTCTTTGGGGGGGGGTACAACCATCGAACGAGATGAGGAGAGGGAACCAGCAGTTATCTGACCTGGACCCCCACTCTGAGGCTGCTGCCCCATCTTCTTGCACTTCCTCCATGGTCCACACACCATCAGGCCAGTCTGTGCCCTGTCAGCAGCAGCAGCCCCGTCAGTCAGCAGAGAGGGCAGGGCCGTGGTCTACTGAACCCATTTCCCATTGCTCTTTACTCTCATGACCCTCTCTGGGACAAAGTGCATTTCTAGAGAAAACGAGCAGGGTAACAGCTGAATGGTGAAGGTAGCTCTTTGGACAAGAGTTGGGGGAGGTTTCGGGAAGAAGGTGGCCAAAATCTATGGATGAAGGACAGGAAGGCCGAGGAGCCGAGGAGGCTACACAGCTTCTGATTACAGGGAGGTCAGAGAGACGCAAGGCCCTGGGACCACCTCAGTGTCACAGAACCAGAACACACACAGACACACACACACAGACAGACAGACACACAGACACAGACACAGACACAGACACAGACACACACACAGAGTCTTTCTGCAGCCCCACGAGAGGCAGGAGTGGGAAGGAAGACTTTTCCAGGTCGACTCCAAGTTTTATTCCATGCTGGCTTCTGACTCAGCCCAAGGCAGGCCTTCACCCCTGTACAGGACGAAGATGAAGCGAGGCCAGAGAGGGGGGACAATGATGGAAGCAGGAGGCCACTGGACACCCCTGGAATTTGGGCCTCCCCTCGGCTGACTTCTCCTGGCCATCCCAGCACGCTGACCAGTTCCCAGGCCTTGGTGTCCGAAGCAGCAGGGGATGACTCCCTGGGACTGGATTGGCAGCCCCTCGAGGCCACCAGAAGAACTCCATTAAGAATTCAACCTGCGGCTGGTTGAAGGAGATTGCTATCCTCTGAGGCCCAGTATCCCTTTAAGCTAAGAAGCCATGAGCAGACTCTGCTTTTTAACAGAGTTTAATTTCTGCACCTGAGCTGAGGCAATGAGTCCTCGGGGAGCACGGCAAGGCAGGGTGGGCTGGGGCAGGTTCCCAAAGGGTCTTCCAACAGCCCCCTGCATGATGCCACGCTCCTCATGGTGCTTAGTCCTGCTCTCGGAGGAGAAGAGAGCTTCAGACACCCTTAATCTAGGAGATGCTCAGGCTCCACCCTGAGACAGCAGGGCCTGGCACTGGAGGGCTGGGGTCTGGGCAAAGCCGGGCAAGCGCAAGGCCTGGTCAGCATCACGGCCCTGACGGGAGCAGAAGCATGGACCTAGAGCCCTGATACAAGGAAAGGGGAGGACAAGGTCACCTGCTCTGGAGGCCCCTCCCAGGGCCCGACCTCTGGGCTGGTGGGGGGCTGGACAGCTGCAGCCCAGGGTGCCTCTGAGTGGCCTCCTGCCCACGACACATCACGTCACGCCCCTCCTTGGCTCCTCCCCACATGTGGGCACACACACAGGCACACACATACACTCTCTTCTCAGGGAACTCGCTTTCCCCGCAGTCTGCGGTCTACTGGCATTGCGGCCACCCTGCGCCCATCTTTCTGCATCTGCTCAGCTCTGCAGCTGGAAGAGGAAAAAGTTCAAAAGCAAGAGTCAGCCAACATCAAACCAGAGGAGCACACTGCCCCCTCCCCAACATGTCCCCACTGTCCCCCTCCCCAGGACAACCAGCCTGGGGCCAAGGGACAATAGAGGTGGGGGCTCCTGCTATGGGCAGTGCTCTGTCCACGGAGGACGGATGGGCACGCCATGCTGAAATCCAAGGGGACGCTCTACTGAGCCAGAGCTTCAAGGGCGTCAGATACTCAAAGGACAAGCACACGGGCCTCCCAGACAGGAGAGAATGACTGCTCAGGGCAGGGCCTCAGGACGAGGCTGCTCTGAACCACTAATTTCGAATGGGAAGGAGCAGGGTGGGCTCTGGGCTCGTGGCCCTGCCCAACACACATAGTCAAGGGAGCCCAGGCCAGGGTGGGAAGGGGAGCAAGGGGACCAGCTCGGGAAGACAAAGACGTCGCTCAGCTGGAGCAGAGGGCAGAGGCGGCTGACGGGGGAAATCCAATTTAAAACAGTTCTCCCTGAAAGCCAGGGCCTGTCTATACAGCGTTACTGAAACAAAACTGGAGGACTTTTGTCACCTGGAGCAGATTCAGTCACATGCATGTGTGTGAGTGTGTGTTAAGTGTAAGGTGCCGGGATCCTACAAGCAAAGGTCACGGAAGTTGAGGAAGCTGAGGAACCTAGGAAGGTGGGTGCCGTTTTGGGGCAGGGAGGCTGGGGACAAAGACCACTGAGGCTCCCCAGAAGACGGTAGCAGGCTGGAGCGGACTTTGAAGAGGGTGCAGCTGCTGAATGGCAGCACAGGAAGGGTCTGAATGTGGTATGGGGACTCAAGAAGGTGCCACCTGTTTGTTTCCCCCCAGCAGAATGCAGGCTCCTTGTGTCCGGTGCCTAGAATGGTGCCTGGCAGGCAGATGACAAATGCTTGGGAGTATGAGGGAAGGAGAGGCCTGGTCCTGGAGAGGAGGCCAAGACACCAGGAGAAAGTGAGGATTCACCGAGCACAAAAGAGGCAGGAAGGAGAGAGGAAGAGCTGAGAGGAGCAGGCACAGAGGCTGGGAGGAATGCTGGTGGTCATCATGCTCGAGGCTGAAGAGCCTCAGAGGTGGGCGAGGGGGGAGAGGCGGTAGAGCTCCAGGCCCAAACACGGACCTCGGCTCCTGCTCCACAGCAGCACGGAGGGAAGGGAGCAGGAGGACTGCCACGGCGGAGAGTCAGGGTGGACATTCCCATGGAGGTGGACACAAGGGCACAGGCCCAGGCGCCTGCCTGGCTCTGGCAGGAAAACAGTTCAGGAGGCGGCGGGATAGCCTCAGGAGCAGGGTGGAGGGATGGCTGAGGCCAGGCAGGGATGGGATGTCAGCAGCTGGGGCAGAGCCCCGGACACTCCATGCTAGCTCCAGTTTTCTAACCTGTACCTGTGAACGGACCCCCTTTACACCATCCTCACCAGGCAGGTACTAGCCTCTGCTTGAACACTTCTCATGATGGGGAACTCACTACCTGTGGAAGCAGCACTTCCATCCTCTGTCAGCTCTAACTGTTACAACTTTCCTGGCATTGCTTCCTTTGGGAGCCAAACAGAATGAGTCTCCTCTCTCTCGTAATGATTGAAAGGAAGAGACCTGAGATGCTGAGTCCATAGAAAGTTCCTAAAAGGCACCGTCTGTGTCTCAAGGTATTAGGAAGAGAGCAGGGAGCCCCCTGGAATGCTATGGGAAAAGACTGCTGGTTGGTGTTAGTGATCACATCGGTGGAAAGAAGGCATTCCACAAGGTGGCACTGGGTCTGATGGCACAGCACTCAATACACGGGGGGGGTGGTGCCATCATTCATTACAAAGATCCTGGAGGCCATAACTCAAGGTGAAATCCCTAACCTATGGAGATTTCCAATCGCTCCATAAACTCCATTATCTGGGTAATGATTTGTCTGGGAGAGGGCAGGATGGCAGGGCGGCTGAGACAGAAGCGTGTGTGGCGTCTGCGACAGTACGCTGTCCTCACAATGTGAGCGCTTGGGAAGATGCACTTCCTTAAACTATGTGCTAGACCCCAATTTTCATGACCAGTAAGTACAGGTTATCAATAACTAAATGTTGTTAAGGCCTCTTTCTGTTTCAGGCAGACACCTCTGTGTTTGATACACAGGTACGTACGTGACTGTCTGTATGTCAGCGAGCACTTTCGCACTCACTGCATTCCAGACACTGCGCTAAGGACCAGGAATAAAGAAAGCTGACCACAGGCCCTGCCCTTCAGGGCCTTGCAGCTGAGAAGGTGCAGCCATGCTATGAGCAGGGTCGGGGGGAGCCAGGAAAGGCCTCCTACACAAAGGGGGTGCTCAGCTGGGAGGCCTGGGCACATGAATGTCCAGGACCAGATCGGAGAAGACAAGAATACGAAAGGGCCGGGGAGGGCTGCGCAGCAGGCCAGAGGACCCGCTCCCCCAGGGCCTGGCCCAGTGCTTCACACGCCAGGGCTCCTGAGAAACATTTGTTGAAGGAGCCAGTTAGTGACTGATCTGGCTTTCTGAAGGGGCTGCTCTGGTGAAGATAAAACCTTCTGCCCCTTAAGTCTGGAGTCACACTGGCCTGGGGAAAGAAGGCTGCTTTCATCAGCCTCCCCCCATCCCTGGGACCTCTTACCCTAGTCCAGCTGCACAGAAACCCACGGGGTTGGGGTGGAGTGAGGCCGAGCTTGGGCCCCAGATCACTATGCTGCGTCAGCAGATGAAGACCAGTATGTTATCAGTAGAGGGGTGAGTCTGCAGAAAATAGGGAGCCCAAAGGTACCTCACAGCAAGAGATGATGGAGGCATAGCCAGAAGAGGCGAGGGGGGAAAACCCATCTGGCAGGTATCTGGCTCCTTTCAATCTGCCCTGAGCACGAGGCAGACAAAAGACTGCACACAAGGGAGGGAAGGCTGCCTGATTCCTTGTTTTAACAGGCTGGACAACTGTGCACACACAGCACTTCCTGGTCCCTAAACAATGCCCCCAGGAAGCCCAGAGCTCCCTCCAGGTCCTGGCTGGCTCACCTCCCATCCTGGGCCTGCTGAGGCTGGCACTGGGGTGGAGTGGGAGGGGGCCAAGCAGCTAAAGGAGCTGGAGAGCCTTGGCCCAGAAGCTGCAACCTCTGCGGGGGAGGGCAGGGCTTTGGTGCCTTCTGCAGAGTCTCCTGTGGGGAGATGCGAAGGCAGCTCTGTGCCCGGAGCAGAGGGCAGGCAGCAGACTGGCAATCATTCTGACCAGGCCCTGCCCCTACCCACCCAAGGCCTTGCTCCTAAGATGACTGAGTCTCTTCTCTTAGGGCCTCAGTTTCCTTCTCTGTAAAATGAAGGGGATGGAGATGATCCTCGAGGCCCCACCCAGCTCCAAATGCTGGGATTTTGGGACCCCACGACCAGAATTCCCTGAAAGTTTCAGACATGCTAGGACCACGTGACCACACAAGTCTTGTCCAGAAGATACTTTTGGCCCCGAGCGGCCAAAGAATAAATCGACAGGTAGCGAGACACAGGTCAGAAAATCAAGGAGCCACATTGTTTCTGGAAGCTCTGGAGAATGGGGAGCAGAAGGTTGGGAGAAGGGATGGGATGAGATGCTCCTTGCAGCCCCACCGCATTCACAGGGCTCTCTGCCAAGGGAGGGAGGTAAACACGTGCTCCTGCTCTCCCCAAACAACGAGAAAACTCTGCAAAGAGCTCGAGTACAATGGAAAGGGGACAGTAAGCAGCTTTAGGGATTCACAGGGAACCAGCTGGAACGCTGGCCTGTTCTCTTGGCTCAATGGGCAGAGCACCCTGAAAGCTAGCCCAGGGAAGAGGAAGCTGTGAGCATCCACTCTGGAGAAAGTTTGGACCCGGTGGTTTCAGGACACATATTCTCAAGAGACTGACTTAAGCTGCCACCCATCAGCACATCCTGTGGACGGCCACAGCCGTGAGCCAGAGATGCCAGACTCTTAGATCTTAGAGCTGAGAGGGCCCTCAAGGACTAGCTGGTCAAGGTGAGGGAAGAGAGGCAAAGTGAGTCCCCTAGAACGGGGGACAGCCCAGGTGACTAGTGCCCCCATTACCCCCTGCTCTTGTCATCCATCAGTCCCACCATCTGCTTATCCAGCCTGGGGGTGGGGCTCTGACTGAGGGGAAAGCGACATTGAAACTGGCATGAGGCATGGTTTCTGGGGTTCAAAGCGCTTCCTTCACACCGTGACAGCCCTGCTTTATGTGTACAAGCCTCCCGTGAAGGACGGAGGCAGGCAGCTGAGGGCTTGTCTTCATTTCACAAACAAAGTGCTGAGAAGGTCCCAGCTTGCATGCAGGGCCAACGTGGCTGTGTGGTCTAATGAAGAACATGCCGGACAAGGGGCAGGTAGAGACCTGTCCCATTGGCAATTCTTTCTTCAAGACCACTCTCATGGAGCATCACAAGACGTAAAATGGATAAAGTTGGTATTAAACCAAAAGGTTTTGCACAAACAAAACCAATGCAGCCAAGATTAGAAGAAAAGCAGAAAGCTACAAAAAAATTTTTACAGCAAGTGTCTCCGATAAAGGCCTCATCTCTCAAATACATGGAGAACTGAGTCAAAATTCATAGGAATACAAAGCATTCCCCAACTGATAAATGGTCAAAGGATATGAACAGGCAGTTTTCAGACAAGGAAATCAAAGCCATCTATACTCATGTGAAAAAATGCTTTAAATCACCACTGATTAGAGAAATGCAAATTAAAACAACTTTGAGGTATCACCTCACACCTATCAGACTGGGTGTGACAGAAAAGGAAAACCACAAATGTTGGAGGGGATGTGGAAAAATTGAGACACTAATGCCCTGTGGGTGGAGTTGTGAACTGACAAGCAGGCTGATTTCAGAAAAACCTGTAAAAACTTACATGAACTGACACAAAGTGAAATGAGCAGAACCAGGAGAACACTGACAGCTATACATACTGTACAATGATCAACTGTTAATGACTGAGCTACTCTCGGCAATGCAACGATTCAAGACAATCCCAAAGGACTCGTGATGAAAAATGCTGTCTGCCTCCAGAGGAAGACCTGATAGTGTCTGAAAACAGACCAAAGCATACTATTTTTCACTTTACTTTTTTGTGTGTTTCTCTTTTTTGGTCTATGTTTTTTTTCGCAACATGACTCACATGGAAATGATGTTTTGCACGATGGCACATGTATAACCTATTATCAAATTGCTTACCATCTCATGGAAGGGGGAAGGGAGGGGGGGAATTTGGAACTCAAAAAATTTTTTAAATGAATGTTAAAAATTGTTTTTACATGAATTGGGAAAAAAATAAAATACTGTCATGGAGGCCATACCCTTCCTCTCCAGTCCAAGGGTTACCATCTGAGGTTGGGTGTCTGCCTGGAGGGCAGCAAGAAGCTCCGCTCCTGCCAATCTAACTTGTACTCAATGCTACAGCAATCTTTCTATCCCTTCTTGGATTGAGTCACTCTCCTCAGCTTAACAGGCTGGCTCCCCATTGGCTTCAGAATAAAGTCCAAACACTTTTGAGGGGCACTCGAGGTTGACCCCTACTTATCCGGATACATCTCCTATACAAACTTCCCACTCACACCAGACCTATCATGTCACTGGCCCTAAATATGTCACAGCCAATCTTGCCTGCATACATTTTTTTCAGAGTACTTCCCTTCCTCATAACCAAGTCTTGGACATAACAAAGAAACTGGCTCCAAGAAATGAAAGGTCATTTCCTAGAGGACAGTCTCGGTTCAGTTGTCAGAGAACCCGAGCTCTGCCACTCGTGTGAGATAAGGCAGGACATTTCATCTCGGAGACTCTCCACGCTCATCTGTGAAATGGCAATGTTGGACCACGTGACCTCCAAGCTCCCCGGCAAGTCTGAACCTGGGGCCCTCTTGTGTGAGCTCTTCCTGCTCTCTGGCCCCTGCCTGGCTAAGCCTGTCTCCAGTTGTGGACTGGACAGAGCAGCTAGTCCTTGAAGCTCTTGAGCATTTTCCTCCCCTAGCTGTAAGCTTCCCATCCTCCATCACCAGGTCTTCGATGACCACAGGCAGTTTCCCTTTCATGGAGGCTCAAAGCTGGAAGGGACATGTCAGAGGACACCCGAGAGGCCAATCTCAACCTGGACGAGAGTCCCCTTTACTACATGCCTAGCAAATGTTGTCTTCTTTGCTTGAAGACCTCCAGTGGGGGGAGTCCATATTGGCCTCCTGGTAACCTCTCTCCATGGCTCCTGGCTGTGTCCTCAGGGGCCCAGCAGAACAAATATAATTCCTTCTCCTTCAGACAGTCCTTCAGCTACCTGAAGACAGCTTCCACAGGGCCCCCGAATCTCCTCTTCTCCAGATTAACCAGCTAAATAAATCCTGTCTCTGAACTCCTGTTACCCTGCACCATTCACGTGTTACTTAGCTCACACTGTCTTGTACCATTTATTAATTCTTTCCTGGGCATGTCCTGACATCATCCTCGCAGGACTTCACCCTTCTAGCACCAAGCACAATGTGGGACCCCAAGTCACAGCTCAGAAATTGCCTGCTGCTTTATTGCAAGCAAGTCACTCCATCTTTCTAGTTTTTTATGTCCAGGGCATCATTTGCCTCCTACAGCTAGGAAAACAAAGGAAATCGTTTCTGCTCGCTATCTTACAACCAGGACAAGTTTCATGAGGTCTTCAATGCTCTCAGAACAATGCGTGACAACTCTGGTAGTCCTCAGCAACAGTAAGAAAAACAACAAAGAATTGAGAAAAGGAATAAAGGACAGGTAGTTTTGTGTGTGTGTGTAAATGATACTGCCCTGTTGAAGGGAATTAACCTAAAAATAAAGACAAGCTAACCACCAGAGACCTAAAGACAGTAGGGATTCAGAAAGAAAGAGAAACACTAAGTAATGTGGATGATGGCATTGTCAACTCAAGAATCAAAGAAAGACTAAGACAAGGAAACAAATTCCAACGATGGGGCCTCCAGGGAGAAGGTGGACTCTGGGTAGGAATCCCCAGTGTAAAGAGAGAAGCTTTTCTCCAGAACTAAGGAGGCTCCTGCTAAGAAGAGGACTAACCCGGGCACCTCTGAGCTGTGCAATGAGGATAAATGCCCAGGACAATGGCGGGGAATGACGGACAGAGTGACCATGCTGGGCAGTGTCTGGACGGTCCTGGCCCAGCCATGGTCGGTCAGCTCCCTGAGGCCAGGGATCGGGGTCTTCTTCATACCTATAACCTCCCCAGCAACACTGAAGGGTGCCTAGCATGTTATGGGCAGTGCTAAGTAAGCACTGTTAGCCCAATGATTCCATGGGCATCTTAGCATCTTCTGAAGGGTTAGTGCTGCTCTCTGCTGGCTGGCCTAAGGAATTCAATGTGCTGGGAAACGGGCAGGTGGGGAGGAGGAGGAAGAGGAGGATGGAGTGGAGATGAAGGAAGGGGAAGGGGGGAGGGGGAGGAGGAACAACAGAAGAGACAGGAGTAGGGGGAGAAAGGGAAAGAGCAGGAAGGGGGGAGGGGAGCAGGAGGTGAGCTGCCTCAGAAAGCCTGTGTGTGCGGCACACACCTCTCCTTCCTGTCTGCTCCCACAGCACAGGCTCTGACTGGGCAGTCTCTCAGGGCCTCACATCCGGTGTTCATTCTCTGTCTCTCTCTCCCTTCCCCTCCCCCCTTTCTTCACAGATTCACTTCACTTTGAGGGGAGGAGGGATTGGGAAACAAACATTCTCTTAGCTGGCAAGGAGAGGAAAGGATTCTGACTTTTTTTTTCCATTAGGATTTTTGAAAATACTCAATTTCACACAGGTCCTAAGCAATACCCTGCAACTTCTGGATGGTGTGGGCTCTGCCCAAGTGAAAACAAGGTTTAGGAGGTTGGGGTTTGAGGCGTACTGAGCTCCCCTTGGCCACCCCAGCTCACCCTTGGATTCCCAGAGAAGGCCGACAGTGCCCAACACTCACCCTGTCCCCTGTCCCGACGCCCTCAAGGGAGGGGTCTCACTCTCTCACACTGTGCCAGCCAGCTCTGGGACAGGCAATGCCGCCATCACACGGGCCCGTTTGCTGTGCTCCTCTCCAGAAGCCTCCTCCATGGCCTCCAGCTTGCGTTTGGGGGATGCTGGGCTGCAGGGCAAGGGCTTTGGGCCTGCAGGGAAAGTAGAGTCAATTTAGAAAGACCTGGAAAGACTTGCAGGAACTGATGTTTAGTGAAGTGAGCAGAACCAGGAGAACGCTGTACGCAGAAACAGCAACATTGTGTGACGACCATGAGAGACTTCGCAGAAGAGATAGCTTTTCTCAGCAACGCAACAATCTAAGACAACTCCAAAAGTCTCATGATGGAAAATGCTATCCATATACAGAGAAAGAATTATGGAGTCTGAATGCAGATGGAAGCTACTATTTTCTCTTTCTTTTGTTGTTTTTTCTTTCTCATGGTTTTTCCTTTCGGTTCTGATTCTTCTTTCATGACATGAGTAATATATTTAATATGACTGTACAAGTATAGCCTGTATCAGACTGCACCCCATCTTGAGGAGGAAGGAGGGGAGGGAGTGGGAAAAATTTGGAACTCAAAATCTTATAAACACAAGTGCTGAAAACTAAAACTAAATAAATAAAAAAATTTGGGGGGGAAAAAAAGTTGAGTCCAGTTTTGTGTGCCTGTGTGCATGTTCAATCAAAAGAGATGGAGATGGAGAAAGAAGAAGAGAGAAAAGAAGAAAGAAGGGAGAAGGGAGGGGAAGAAGTGTGTCCAAACAGTGATGGTACTACACAGCTGTGGCCTCTGGAGGCTCCTTGGAGCGCCTCTGGGCATCAGCAGCAGCAGCAGATCTGCACCCCCCACCCCACTCCCCAAAGCCCAGGTCTGTGGGCTGTGGCTCCCAGCTGCCTTGGATGCTCTGAGGGCCAGCACCTGTCCTCTGGGAGCAGGGGCTCATCAGAGCAGCCACTTTGCCATACTGACCAGAAAGGGTAGTGGAGCTCACCTGTGCTGCTAACGCCACTGGCCTGGCCCATACTTGTCTCTGCCATGGGGTTGCTGAGGTCTTCCATGCAGGATGGGACGGAGGCCAGTAAACCTGAGGAAGGGTTGGGAAAGGGGAAGGGGAGGCAGTGAGACCAGTAGAAGAAGGGGGAATAAGGCTGGAAAGGATTGTGAGGCTTCCCTTCTGCCTGTTCACCCCCACTACTGCTTAGTATGAGTGTGTGAGTACACGCTCATCTGTGTGCCAGGGAGGACACGCGCAGCATTAGAATTGGCAGCACGGCCCTCCTCTCTGCCTAGGGGACCCTCACGAGAACAGGCTCACAAATGGCTTTCCTCCCCATCACCCCAGGGTGGTCACTGGGGAAGGACCCTAAGGCTCAGAGAGAAGGGATAGGTCTACATCTGGAGGAGTCCCCAGCACCCTCCCACTCCACTGGGCCTCCAGCCAGACTGGGCTCCACACTCACAGAGACCCCGGTAGCGGGAAAGCTGCTGGTAGATCTGCTTCATGCGCTCGATGTTGAGCCGGCTGGTTTCGGCATGGTTGACAATGGGCTTGGGGTAATCTACCCCGATGATGCACTTGGCTGCCTTCTGCACAGATTCGGGGGCGTTCCAGGGCTCATAAATGTAGCGCGAGGGGAATCCTTTCAGCTGGGGTAGGTAGCGCCTATAATGCACAGAGAGCCCTCAGTACACCCACACTCTCTCACACTACACGGGGCCCTCAGTATGCCCCAACTCTACGCAGGCCCTCAGCACACCCACACTCTCTCGCACTACATGGGGCCCTTGGTACGCCCCCACTCTACGCGGGCCCTCAGCACACCCACACTCTCTCACACTACACACAGCTCTCGGCACACCCACACTCTCTCACACTACACGGAGCCCTTGGTATGCCCCAACTCTATAGGGGCCCTCAGCACACCCACACTCTCTCACACCACACACAGCCCTCGGCACACCCACACTCTCTCACACTACACGGAGCCCTCAACACGCTCCCACTCTACTCGGGGCCCTAGGCAGGCCCCCAACTCTATCCTCTATGCTCGGCACGCTCCCACACATAAAGGGGTGGCCCCTACCTGACGTAGTCTCCACTGGGGTCTGTCCGGCGGCCAAAGCCCACAGGGCAGTAGCAGTGGAAGAACTGTTGGAAGAAGGCGCTGCAGGACAGCCACATCCAGCTGCCCGCATTCACGCTGAAATCAGCATCAAGGAGCAGCTCATCAAACACCTGAGGGACAAGGGGATGGGGAGACTCACTGGGGGGCGAGGGAGGGGGATTTCACCTCTGAAAGCTGAGGTCCGCAGAGGCCAAAGCCTTTCTTGTAATGAGCACAGAGCCGGCCTGCGAACCCAGGGCCTCGGCTGGGGGCACCTCCTCCGCCCAGCGTGGCCACCAGCCAGGCCTGGCCATGAGACACTCACCCGCACCCCGCTCTCCCAGCTGAGCCAGAGGTCTCCGCGGGTCAGGAAGCAGGCCACGGCGTGCCTGGCCAGGTGGTGGATCCAGCCCTCCTGCCGCAGCTGGGCCATGACGGCGTCGATCCAAGGGAAGCCGGTCTTGCCCTCTGCCCACTTGGCCAGGGCTTCCGGGTTGCGGTCCCAGGGGATCTGGATGCAGATGGGGTTCCCCTCCATTCGGTCAAACTTGGGGTTGTTTGTCGCTGCGGTGTAGAAAAATTCTCGCCAAAGGAGTTGCCCATACAGAGACAGCGGAGGGGTGTTATTCCTCTTGACCTGAGGGCAGAAGGGCAAGAGGTCATCTGAAAGACCCAGGCCATTAGCCAAGACTTTCCTACGGGGAAAGCTTGGGGCCACAGCAAGCCTGAGGACAGGGAGTGGTGTGGTGGTAAGAGTCCTGGACTGAAGTCAGAGGACCTGGATTCAAAGCCCTGCTCCTTATGACCCGTGATGACTCAGGCCAGGTGACTTCATCCCTCTGGGCCTTGGCTTCCCTTCTTTGGGCTCTAAGTGCCTCTTCTAGCCCTAAATCCTGGGGTTTTATAATGCCGTGGAGCCCCACCAGGAGCAATGGCACCACGTGTGTGAAGAGCAGTCAGTGGCCCAAACCTAGACTTCAAGTGCCACAACTCTTGGCTGGACGGCTAGAACACGTCAGGCAAAGAAAGGGGCGCCACGTCAGAGCGGGTCAAGCACCGGCCAGAATGGGCCTGAGGGTCAGGAGATCACCTTGAGCCAGAACAGACTCTGCCCTGCGGTCTCTTGTCTGGCCAATCAAAAACTTTGAAACTTTTCATTTGTAAGTATGAATAATGCTCTACCTCTGGAACCTGGCAAAACCAGCCCCACACAACAGCCTGGGGGTGTGGACACCCAGGACTTCAAAGCAGGCGGACCAAAGCTACTTTACGTAATCAGATGCTATGATAAAGACAAAGTCATAATTCAGAAATGGAAATAAAAGCCTATTTAAAAATCTACACACTCCATGCTGACTTAGACAGCTGGGTATGCTTTCTCTGGTCACTGGCTTTAAAGTCAGAAAGCCCTGGAGAGGCCATCTGGCCCAACCCTCTCATCTTCCCGATGATGAACCTGAAGCACCCAGAGAAGGGGGAGGGGACATTACTTGAGGGCAGGCCTGCTGACTCCAAATCCAGAGCTCTCTCCACTGCTCCATGCTGCCTGCTCTTCTATTTCTAAGGCTGGGGATGTTTTCTGATAGAGCCAATCTAAGGTAACCGTGGGCAAACCACAGCTGGCCGGCCCACTACCACCTCCTTCCCTGAGCCCCTGCCCCACGGCCAGGAGGACGGCCTGAGCTGTGGAAGGGCTACCCGGGCTCGGGGGCTCTGCAGCCGGAGGCCTTGCCATGTGGCAGTGTGCAGGCTTCACCTTCTTATACAGTTCCCAGAGACGGTAGTAGAAGAGGCGGCAGGATAGGCAGCCAAAGCGCAGATAGGGGCTGAGGCCCGTGGGGCTGGCCATCAGGGAGGTGGCGTTCATCCTTGGTCTCTCGTAGTTGGCGACCCAGGCCTAGCAGAAAAGAATCAAAACAAGAAGCATTCCATGTGCCTCCAGAGCTCCCACAACAGCCCACGAGCCAGGCATCGAACCCCTCTGTCCCCTGGCCCCTTCAAGAGGCCAGGTGTCCTCCCGGGCTCTGCTCCCTTCCCGTCAGCAAGAGAGAGTCTGCTAAGAGAGCACCCAGCCTGGGGTCGGTGGCTGATGATCGCTCAACATTTTACATGTGTGCATTTAACAGAACACTCTTAGAGTGACTCTAATCATGGGACGTCTCAGGCCCCGAGGCAAGCTGAAAGGGGCTCTCTCTCAACCGTACCATGGGGCAGCCATTTGTTTCATCTACGATGAGGCGATGACCTCGAGCAGGTCAATGCTTGACCTGAGGCTCTTCATCTCTCTCGGGGCCAGAGATCTCAGAGAGCACAGGCGGAGGGGAAGACTACCGGATAAAAGTCCAGTCCTGGCTCAGGCCCTGAAGCTGCTGTGTGCCTTTAAAGGCAGCTATCTAATCCTTCTGGGTCTTGCTCACCCAGCAAACCCAGGCCCTCTCGCAGAAATGCAGAGAATAAACATGAAGGGGCTCAGAGGACATGGGAATGCTGAGGGGGGCCGATTTCTCTCCCCTACAGCCACCAGGGGTCCCCTCCAACTTCCAGGACAACAAAAGGAGGGAGGTCCCGATCTTCTCCTGGGACCAGCACCATCACTCCAGACACCCTTTCCAGAGAACCACAGGCACTTCACCTCTATTCTCTTTGTTGTCTTATCTCTAGAATCAGGTCAGAACTTTCCTGGTCCACCTACAACTTTTCCATCTTTCAGCATTCCCAGGAGGCCCCCAGTATGCCTGGATGGAACTGGCTCAGCGGCCCAACAAAGCGGTTCCTAAGAATGGTGAGCCCACGCTGGGCAGGTATGGGTAGAGCCTTTACAAAGGTCTCCTTAAGACCCCAAACAACAAAGTCGGCCCCTTTAGCTCTCCCAACTAGCCCTGGTCCTGCCATCCCGTCTCTCATCTGGCTCCTCCTGTGCATCTCTGCCACCTCGGCCCAGCCCAGCCCAGCTGTGAGAGGGATGGACTGTCCTCTCCCTACCCTTGGGCATCAGGCCTGAGGTTCGGAGGCAAGCCTTTTGGCTGCAGCACACAGCAGTGCCCCATGAAGGAGAGCAGAGGCTGCTGGCAGGATCAAATCATGCACATTGTGCTAGGCTGTTGGCTAAGTATATGAAAGGCCAGGGACACGTTTCCAGAAGAAGCTTTGTCTGACTTTGAGGGTCCAATTTCCTTCATCTGACTTCTGGCCGAATTGCCCTGCATCTGAAAAGGGCTTGGGTCAAGATGGTACCCCTCATGGTCTCACACTCGAGCACGTCAGAGCTGGAAGGGACCAGAGCCCTCAACTGACTGGGTTGTTAAGCCCAAAGCACTGACTCTGTGTCAGCCAGCTGCTGGCCATGGGAAGGACCCAAAGACAAAGAACATTCACATCAGGCCCAGAACCCTCATCTCGTGGGAGAGCTGGAAGGCCTCTGCTGTGGACACATGAATCAAGTGGTCTCTCCTGAATCTGGCCCTGCTGCCTAGCTGCCCAGAGGGCTGTGGTCCTGATGGCTTTTCCTCCCCCTCGTCAATGCCTCCATCACTGCACGGGTGGAATCTTCAGCAATGCCACTCATTCAGCTCAGAAGCTGGGGAGCAGTGCACCGGAGCAGATGCAGAAAAAAGGGGAGGGGGAGGGAGGGAGCCCAGAATCCTGGGCTTAGCGTGGGAAGGGACCTGAGAGGTCACCCTCCAGTGCCATACCCACTGGCTCCTCTTCTCTTGGAGGACCTGGAGGCAGCTGGGGCTGGGCAGTGCTCACGCAGGCTAATGATAAGAGCCCACATTGGCCACCGGACGGTTGACAGAGCACCGTTCTCAGAACTACCCTCTGAGGTGGTTCATACAAGGACCACTGACTCCATTTCAGAGAAGACGACTGAGGCAAAGAGACACAGTGTGACTTGGCCAGTAAAAGGTAAACTAGACGTCTTCTCTCCCCAGGTGCACCGCTCCCTGAGAAGGGAAGGGAGGAAGGAAGCCTGGGCTTCACACTTCCTCTAGCAGGGATGTGCCCGCTTCCCCCCACCCCACGGATACCCACCTTCCTTTCCAAGTGCTTGTCCAGTCGGGCCAGAGCTTCCATCTCTCCTCCTTGCCAAACAGCTGGGCCAAGTCCATCGGTGGGGAACCCTGGCAGAGGAGAGCTGGGTCAGGGGGTGGAGGTGCCCCACAAGGAGGCTGCCACCCCCGCCCTACCCCCTCTCCTAAACGGCATCCTTCCAGGTCTCTACTCTCTGGTGGGCCCAGTCTTTCCTCCTCCTGTGACTCCTTCTCCCTTTTCTTTCTGCCCCCAGGTGCCCCCAGCCCTCTGACGGGAGGAGCCGTCCCTAGACCCCCGCGGCCTCCAGCCCGGCTGGCAGGGACCTCAGTGCTCCCTTCCACATGATCCTGGGAAGGTCCAAGGAGGCCAGCATAGACCCTGTGTGGGGGGAGGCCTACCGAGCTCCTCCAGGGAAGGCACACCATAGGTGTCATCGTGGTTCTCCTGAATCTCGGCTTGGCACCGCTCCATCTGCTGGCTCGTCACGCAGCTCACGGGCTTTCTAGGCAGCTCCATGCGGCTGATGATGGCCTGAAAGCGCTTGTAGGTGAGGGGTGGCTTCTGCCCGTTCAGCTCAATGATCCTGGGGATCCCAGAGGGTACTCAGAGTCACTCATGAGGCCTATGGCTGGGGACCCTGCCTGCTCACCCTAAAAGTCACCTGCCCAACACGCATACCATGAACAAAGTGCTGCTATGACACTTCACTGACTTGAGAAAAAGTAGAGGGCAGTATCACCATTTTACAGAAAGGGAAAGTGAGGCACCAACGAGCCAAACAGACGTGCCGAAGCAGGGCACTGAGCCAGCCAGGACTGGATGTCTAGACTCAACTGCCGAAAGAAAAGAAGGCCAGGGGCAGCTAGGTGGTACAGTGGATAGAGCACTGGCCCTTAAGTCAGAGGACCTGAGTTCAAATCCAGCCTCAGACCAAACACTTGACACTTACTAGCTGTGTGACTAAGTCACTTAACCCCAATTGCCTCAAAAAAAAAAAAAAAAAAAAAAAAAGATGGCGGCCAGCCATATCTCAGCTGCCCCGCTCAGCCACCTAGGTCACAAGATCAAGTCCCTGTGAGCCCATTTCCCTACCCTGGAGTGAAAATCAAAGGGGGATCTTTCAGCATGGCCTTTGGGACATTTCTTCCCCTGGTGGTAGGAAACAGGGCAAGGCCAGCTTATGTCTCCCCCCAAATGGGCTCTGCTGGGATCAGCCCCAAGGACGATTAGCTCAGCTCCCGACTCCAAACTGGCAGCAGCAGACACAGGGTAGCAGGGAGGGCTGAGGCTGGGCAGGCCACATTCCACAATGGTCCCCTTGAGCCCCCCGGCACCTCTGGTGGCTAGATGCCCCGTCTGTGGAGGGGGGAGGTCTGGGATGGTTTACATCATGGGGCATGCCCTTTCCTAACAGCCTCCTCCGTCAAAATGAGGGGCCGGCCCGGCCGAGCCAGATTCCCGAGACTCCTGCGGGCATTTAGGCCAGTGCATTAGCTCAGAGGTTTATGCAAGACTGGGCAGGGTGTGTTCAGTTCTCAGGCTTTCCCCTTCGTCAGAGACAGCAGGTGGGCGGAGGCCTTGGGCCACGCCCCCTTCCTCCCCTTCCTCCCCCTGGCCCTCCTCACGTGGAAGGGGGAGGGGAGCCACGCTGTGCCTGCTCCAGCCGCCTGGCTCACATGGAGGGCCGTGTGACCCAGCCTGTTGCAGTCACCGCTAGGTGGGGGTCCTGCGGCTGGGAAGCAGCAGGAGCGTGAATGCTTCCAGCTGGGGTAATCAGGGAGAGGGTTTCCTCCCTGCATCTCCCCTTTTCCCCTGAAAACCTACTTGCGAAGGCCTGGGAACACGGGAAGCCAGCCGCCCTCAGCAGGAGCTGCCACAGCTAACTACCTCCGTGGCCTGGAAACCCAGATCGGCGGGGCCCATCAGAACAGAGTTCTGGGAAGGGGTGGCTTGGACAAAGGGCAGAAGGGCAGCCAGACCTGCCCGTCTCTGGGGGGCCTCGGATGGGGATGCTGACTCTTCCTCATTCCCCCCAACTCTGACCAAGCAGTGTGACCCCGAGGAGACAAAGTGTCCCCGACGGCTCCCAGGGCCCTCCCCAGCGCCTGAGCCTGCAGGCCCCTCACCTGTCCAGGTCATAGAGGGTGTGCGAGTTTTCCGTTACCACCTCCACGCCGGCCTCCTTGGCCATCTTCACAATAGCTGCATCCCGCTCTTTCCCAAAGGGCTCTGAGTCATATTCAAAGGTCAGGCGGGTCACACCCCATTCCTGTGGAGAAAGTTTCTGCTGGACCCAGGGCTGGGGGGACCAACCCGGGCCCCACCTCCAAGGAGGGAATGGGGCTGAGGACAAACTGGAGGGGCAGATATGCTGCTGGAAACAGAACCTGAATCCTGGGCTGGAGACAGGCCCACTGGCTTGTCTGGTCCCAGCAGCTGGGAGGCGGCATCCCTGGGGAACCCCAGGGCCCCACCAAAATCAGCACAGCTGCCTCACTCACTGGTGGGGCCTGCGAGATGCAGAATCCCCCCGGCTCTGCAGCTCTTCTCCCAAGGCTGACACAGCCCTGCAGACCCTGCCCTAGTTTCCCTGGCAGACTTAAGCAGGGAAATAGTTTTGTGGTTTCCACAGCAACGTTCTGAGATCAGCTCCGAGCAAAGAAACAGAGCCGACAGGCCCTGAATGGCTGCCGCTGCGGCCAGAACCCCACCGATGACTGACCTCTCCTAACAGCCCCCTGCAGTCATCCCCACCTGACAGATAAAGAACCAAGGCTGGTAGAGGTGGGGCCCGGCAGGGGTGGGCTTCTAACCCAAGTGTCTCCTGACTCTAAGGGCAGGGCTCTGACCATTACATTACCCTGCCTCTCTGGAGCAGGGATCCTGCCTGCAGCCTGTGCCCTCGGGCAATGGGTACCCGAGAGGTTCAGATGGGGGCTGGGGGATGGGAAGAGAAACTTTTTCTCCCTGCCAGAATGGGCTTCTCGGGGCACTTCAGGGCTGGGTCAACAACCAGAAGACAGCACAGCGTAGAAGGCATTTGCCAAAGCCAAGCCTCTCGGGTGATGACGGCCTGGGTTGCCGGGAGCAACCTCCTAAAATAGCAGTCTCTATGTACGGGGCTGTCTGTGCCTCCTGCCAGGCCCGAGGCTGGGCTGGAGGGTGGGGAGTCCAAGGGAGATGGGCCATCGCTATTCAGAGAACTCCCCAAAACTCAGCTCCTGGAGCAAGAAGTGGATGAACCTGGGTAGCAATGGGAGGCCAAGCTCTAGAGCCTAAGGAAACTTAGACGCGGGCTGCTCTACCCCCTCTTTACAGATGTAAAAAAAGGACCAAGAGGGCCAAGGGACATGGTCAGGGTCACCCCGAGCAGAAGAGCTGGGCCCCGAACCTGGTGCTTGACTCAATCAGACTGCTGGGGGAGATAAGACAGTCACTGCAGGGCTGGTCCTGCTGACACACTGGCCCCTAGAGACCCTTGGAGCATCAAAAGAAGGATCTGGGATGGCAGGGGGCATGGGCCCAGGCAGAACAGGATATCCCAGAATGCTCTGGCTTTCAGGACTGGATCTACTCTCTGAGCACTGAAGGACACAGATGATCCAGGGAGCTGTGGCACACCCAAACTGAGATTTTTCAATAACCTACTGTGCAAGAAGTAGAAGCTTATTTAGGGAGGCTGATATTGCCCCCTCCCCCCCGGTAATCAGATCTGGGCCCCTTCCTGAAGAGAGAAGCCTGCAGAGGAAAGGGCCAGCAGCCTTGTTCAGTCTTGCTAGCTTGAGCCAAGAGAAATAGGGAAAGGAAGCCATCAGTGTCTGGGCTGGAAAGTCGGTCAGACACGCCACATCCCACGGCTGGGCTGAATGAAGAGCTTTTCTAACAAGAAACCTGTCTCGCGGGGCGCCTCCTCAACACTCCTGCCCATCTGCCCTGGAGGCCTCCAGCTCACTTGGCCTTCGTCCGTGTCGGCCCAGGTCAGTCGGGCCCCGTGGATTTCTCCCACTCCCTGAGTGTCCTGTGGTGTCTGTGGGGACCCCCAGAGCGCCGGACCAGGGCCGAATCTCAGGGTCAACACAGAGACTGAATTTCTCACCACCTACAAACCCCGTACCTTGAAGAGTCTTGGGAACACATCAGTCGGTTGTCCTCGGACGACGAAGAGGCGAGAGTTTAGTTTCCTTAAGCTGATGTCCAAGTCCTCCAGGGACTGGAGGAGGAACCTGTGACATCGAAGCAAGATAGGTAGTGACGGGATAGAAAAAAAAGCAATTCTCCTCATCAAAAAAAATTTTATGGTTAGAGCTTTTTTTTTTAACAGCACCTTAATTTCCAAATACATCCCTCCTTCTCTCTCTTGCACCAAAAGAGAAAAAACAAAACCAAACAACCCATCAACCACATCTGTCATCGGCGTACTATTCCACACCCGAAGTCCCCTGCCTAGGCCGAGGAAGGAGGAAGACGTCCCTTCCAGAACTCTTCTCCAGGGCCCTGGTCGGCTACTGAAGTCCCTGAACAACATGTCTGTGGTTTGCTGTCACTGCTGCAGTCACCATACGTGTTGTTCTCCTGGTTCTGCTCACTCCACTCTGCATCAGTTCAGCCAGGCTCCCCAGGCTTCTTGGAATTCCTCAAACGCACCATTTCTTCTGGCACAATAATATTTCATTACACTCAGGCACCACCATCACTGAGCCACTCCCCAGCCAATGGGCACCTATTTTGTTTGTAACCCTGAGATCTTTGGGTCAAAAGGCCTGGAGATTGCAGCTGTTTCTCTCTCTCCTAAGGAGAGGGCCTAGGCCTGCAGACTACAGGGCAGCAGAGCCTACGTCACTGCTGCACAAGCTGCACCGTGGCGACTGAGGCCTCGTCGCGGGCGAAGCACACGTGACCTTGGATGATTCCTCCACCTCCCCAGGCCTCAGTTTTTTTCATATTAGGGAAGCTAGATGGTCCTGTGAATAGCTTCAGGCTTGGAGTTAGGAAGACCTACGTTTGAATACTGGCTCAGATTTCCTCCTCTGTAAAATGGGGAGAATAACACTTATTTTACAGTGTTATTATGAGGATCAAAGGAGATAACACATGTAAAGTGCCTTGCAAACAGCAAAGCATTATAGAAACACTAGCTATGTACTACTGTTGTTATTGTTATTATTTACAAGCTATGACTATCCTCACTTGCCCCACCTGCCTCCTTTGATTGTAGGGATATCAGGCAGCATCCTATGCCAGGGGGCTGCAGTCTGGCAGTCCAGCTGTCTTTGCCCTGGCGTTGAGTCTGCACGCTGACGAGACCGGTGGGTCAAACAGAATCCACTTCTCTGGCCTTTCCTCCAGAGCTGGTCCGCATAAAGCCAGGGCAGATGACAAAGGGCTGGACATCTGTTTGGCGTGATTTCACATGTATTGTTTGGCATGATTTCACATGTATAATTGATATCATATTACTTGCCTTCTCAATGGGTGGGGGAGGGGCAGGAGGGAGGGAGAGAATTTGGAACTTAATTTTTTTAAAGAATGTTAAAAATAAATACTACCAAAGGGCTGGACATCTGCTGTCACACCTAAGCTAACAGCTTCTGGTGAGTCCAGGGGACGCTGCAGAGATAACCCTAGCCCTTCCCCTTTCTATATGTTGACAAGTGGTTTCTGTGAACCAGGATACTTCCAATCTATTCCTCAGACAAACCTAAGTCTGGCTGTGGTTAAACCATTAACATTCTGGAAGTTCTTACCCTAAAACACATTCTTGACATCTGCCCTGGAAACCAAGTTATGGTTTCATCAAGAGGACTTTGGGGACTTCTTCATTCAATTTTAGTGACACTCTACTATTTCAAAAACAACACTTCCAGTATTTTAAAGGGAACCCAGACAGGTAGGTCTACAGTGTCCAGGCATCTCTGAGAAGCCTAGAGCCTATCCTCTGGGCAGTAAAGCCAGGGAACAGGAATCTCCCCTCATCAGGGCCCTGCATTTTCTCCTCCAGTTTCAACATGTGGAGACTTCCACACTGTACTGTGCATAATGAAACCCAGCCCCTCCCACAGAGCATCCCATTCGAGGGGTGGGAGGGAGGAGCGTCCAATAGCCAGTCACTCAGAGATCTCCCGGCTGCCAGCTACCACCAACCCCAAAGCTGCTGCTGACGTACAAGGCAGGGCGGCCATCACAGACCTACATTCCTCCACAGACTGATTCCAGGGCTTGGGCCAAAACATCGGGTCAGAGACCCTCCCAGGGAGGGGGGAAGGAAAACTCAGATCGGCCTCATGTCACCCCATGGGAAATGAAAGCTCAGTCTGTGTGAACTGCTGTGTTCTGAAAAGCTGACACCTTCAGAAATGGAAAGTGGAAAGAAATGGAAAGGAATGATGGGCTTTTGTGTCACTACTGCTCTGCCCAGAGGAAAAGTGAGCATGGGCACATGGCAAATGACCTGATGCCACCTGAAATAGGTGTGGTCTCCCACAGATGGCTCAGAAGCAATGGAGTGAATTTACATATCAGGACCACAAAGAAAAGTCTGTAAGGGAAGGGGGGGTGCCCCCCAGTGGCTCTCACCATGCACTTTGAAGACAACCACATAAAGGTTCTCAGAGCTGGAGGGGCCTTCAGAGGCCCAGCTGAGACATCTCACGAGGACTCCATGGTGCTCAAGGAGGCCCATTCTATGACCAGGAAGTCCGTCCTCACACTGCTCTCTTACCTCTTCTCCATACTAGGCACCTCCAGCTCCTTCAAGGGACCAGAAGTGCTGGAGGCCCCTGCCTAGTTGGGTCACTCTTCTCTGGACACTCTCCAGTTTGTCAACATTCTCCCTAAATGTAGCCATCAGAGGCTGCTCAGGCTTATTGCTGGCTCAAGGCCGCAAGCCATTATGGCTAGAGACCTTTTACAGATGAGCAAAGTTAAGTGACCTGTCCAAGGTCACACAAGAAATGGCTGACCCCAATTGATAAATGGTCAAAGGATACGAACAGGCAGTTTTCAGATGAAGAAATTAAAGCTATCTATAGTCATGTGAAAAAATGCTGAAAATCACTATTGATTAGGGAAATGCAAATCAAGACAATTCTGAGGTACCACATGACACCTATCAGATTGGCCAACATGACAAAACAGGAAAATGATAAATGCTGGAGAAGATGTGGGAAAATTAGAACACTAATGCATTGTTGGTGGAGTTGTGAACTGATCTAATCATTCTGGAGAGCAATGTGGAACTATGGTCAAAGGGCTATAGAAATGTACATACCCTTTGACCCAGCAGTACCACTTCTAGGGCTGTATCCCAAAGAGATCATACAAATGGGAAAAGGACCAGCATGGACAAAAATATTTATAGCAGCTCTTTTTGTGGTGGCAAAGAATTGGAAACTGAGGGGATGCCCATCAATTGGGGAACGGCTGAACAAGTTGTGGTATATGAATGTGATGGCATACTGTTGTGCTATAAGAAATGATGAGCAGGCAGGTTTCAGAAAAACCTGGAGGACTTGTATGAACTGATGCTGAGTGAAATGAGCAGAACCAGGAGAACTCTGTACACAGTAACAGCTACACTGTGCAACTACTGATGTTGATAGACTTAGGCTCTTCTCAGCAATGCAAGGATCTAAGAGAACTCCAAAAGACTCATGATGGAAAATGCTATCCACATCCAGAGAAAGAATTATGGAGTCTGAATGCAGATCCAAGCATACTATTTGCTCTTTTTTTTCTTCTTTCTCATGGTTCCTCCCATTCATTCTAATTCTTTACAACATGACTAATGTGAAAAAATGTTTAATAAGAATGTATATGTATAGCCTACATCAGATTGTGCGCCATCTTGGGGAGGGATGAAGGGAGGGAGGGGGAGAAAATTTAAAACTCAAAAGCTTATGGAAGCGAATGCTGAAAACTAAAAATAAATAAATTAAAAAAAAAAAAATGGTTGAGCCAGTATTTGAACTCAAGCCCTTTGACTCCCAACCCAGTGGCTTCACCCACCACACAACACTGCTTCTAATGTACACTCATCTTACTTATACTTTACTGCTTTCAGGTGCCATGATGCCTTTGGCGTGAGCCTCCCTCTCTCCCTGCAGGTGACAACCACTCTACATCTAGTGGCATTTGTGGCCAAAATAATTTGTCGTCAGAGCTGGGCCAGTGCCGGAAAGCAGACATACTCTCTGTTGCTTGGCCTCTGCGGGAAATTGACCCAGCTTGGTACAACCTGCTAGACCCTGCATTGAACCTCTAAGATCCCAGGATTACATTCCCAGTGGGATGAGGCAGTAGCGAATGACGTCAGGGAGGACGCTAAGAAAACGGGTTCTTTTCTCAGGACAACAGGGTATGGAGGGTATCCTTATGTGGGCGAGGGTCTAAGAAAAGTGTAACCACATAGGTAAAGGGTCCTGGTTGAAGGCACCAAGGACAGCTAATCTGGAGAAAAGAAGAGCTGGGTCAGGCATGATAACTGTGGGAAAGGGGTTAGCCCCCTTCTGTCTGGCCTCATAGGGCAGGACAAGGAACAATAGATGGAAATCACCAAGAGATAGACTGAGGCCTGACATAAGGAAAAACTTGTTAACAAGGAGAACTTTCCTAAAATAGAGTGAACAATCCCAAGGTGAGTGGAATGAGAGCTCTTTGTCTCCTTGGAAGTCTCCAACCACAGGACAAATGACCATTCGGTGGATGTTGTAGAGGAGATTATTATTTGCCCAGGGGTCAGACGAAAAAAATAGTTCCTGAGATCCTTCTACCTCAGGGGCTCTGTGACATTTTATTTAAGCTCCCAAATGGAGCCAGAAGCAGCCTACTTCTATCACCAAGCATTCTAGACCCATATTCGCCAAAATATGTACGCCTCTCCAACTTGTCTGGGTGGCAAGGGAGGCAGCTGGGCCAGGCTAGGAAAAAAAAGATACTCCCCTCTCCTGAGCCCAGGGGGGCAGAGGCAAAGACTCAGGCTGGGCATCCATGGAGCCATCCCTGACGCTCTTGAAGGGACCCAGGCCCCAAGCACCCCACCTGGGCAGGAGTGTTTACATCTGAACACGTCCCTGCTTTGCCCAGTGCCTGGAAGCAACCTGTCCTACGAGCCCCCCATTTCTTGTCTTCAAGATGCATTTTGCCTGTTCAGTTCGTTTCAATCTGTTTCTCCTCATTAAGGTTAAGTTTCCTCTCCACATACTAATTTCCCTGGCTTCCTTTAAGTCTCAACTAAAATTCGATGTTTTACAGGAAGCCTTTCCCAACCCCTCTTAATTCTAGAGAATGACCTCTGTTAATTATTTCCTATTTATCTTGTGCAGAGTTTGCTTTGTACATATCTGTCGTCTCCCTCATTCGACTGGGAGCTTCCGGAGGACAGTGACTGTCTTTTGCCTCTTTTTATACCCAGAGCTTAGCATGATGCTTGGCACACAGTAGGCCCTCAATAAATGTTCACTGACTGATTCGGCTACTTCCAGCACCTTCTAGGGACAGTCGGCTCTGTTCATCTTTCCTTCGAAGCGATGGCGCCCACTCGCTATGCTCCATCTGGTACACTACCGTTATAGAAAGGGCCCAGACAGAGGCCTGGCTGAATTCATCTTTGTTCATCAGAGCCAAGTTCCTCTGAATTTGGAGGCCTCAGGCTGGCCACCACTTACAATCAGTAGCCAGGACACTTGGGAAGAGAGTATGTCTGGCCTGGGGGAGACAGAAGCCCAAATGCTAGCAGAGAGTTGAGGCCCTGCCCCCAGAGCACTGTCATCAACTCTGCAGAACATCAGGGCAAGCTGAAGCTGGGCCAGCCAGCTTTGGCAGACATTGATATTCTTGCATCAGATATAAGCAAAGGCCTTTCCTGCAGCCCCACCCCAGCTTCCATTTATCCCCATAGGAGGAAGAAGAAAGCCCTTCATCCTTGGGGTTCAGAGCAGGGCTCCAGAGTGCAGGGCTTTGATTCAGCTTCAGCTCCTGGCACAGTAGGTCAGGCCCATGCAACAGAACATGTGAGATCTCCCCTTCTGGGCCAGAGGCATGGGGAGTGCCCCCCACAAGGGGCCAACCAGGATTCTGTGTGGAAATACAGAGAATCGCCTCACCAGACTGGAGGCTCAAGAAGGGACACCGGAGGTCCATGGTCAAACAGAAGCCTGAATCCCCTCAGGAGAGAGCCTTTATGGACAGTCATAATTCCTTAAGGAATGAATAAGACCCTCCCAGTTCCCCTCACATCTCTTCTAGGCCAAGTCTTTAGCAGGGGGGATCGGTTCTTATTGAATGGCTGAAAGGCACTTGCTCTTTTGTAAGAGTGCTTAAAGATATTCCATATTTGCTTTTGTGAAATGAAGGGCTTTAGCGGTCCGGTCCTTGCCCTTGGCCAACTTTCCGTCATCAGAGGACAACATAAAGAAATAGTAAAGCGAGTACTTTTTCAGCAGGTTCAGGTTTCTGGTCTCTGCTGCATGCATTATTACCCAAATAAGAAGGGGACCCAGGGCCTAGATGTTAAACCATTTACAATTATAAAATGCTTTCCCTACTACTGATTTAGAAAGGTGAGGATGGAGGTTTTCCTCCCCTATGGACAAATGCAAAACCCAAACCTTGAAAGCAAAATGGTTAAGTGACTGGTTGGGGTATCTGCTTGGATGGCTTAGAAGAAGGCACAGCCTCCCTGATGAGTGTGCCACAGCTCTGACCCGTGTACACCCCAGGCTACCACCTGCCTTCTCACTGATCCAATCCCAGAAAAGCTGCATGCGTACTGGAGTCCGACTGTGCTGAGCCACCCCCAATCAGAGAGAGCTGACAGGCTGCTCTCTCCAGCTGCCGCCATCCTGCAGAGCTCTCACTTGGGCCTGCCTGCTGACCGCTGCAGAGGCTGAGGTACACCCTGATGCCCCAGGTCACTGACAGTGTCTGTCTGAGGCCATGTGCAGCAAACATGTTTGTGGCCCCTGCCCACACAAGCTGCAGTTCAGGCAGGCCTCCACACACAAACAGGGGTTCTATTTTAAATGCCAACATCTACAACCGGAAGGCAGCTCCCATTCTCTTCTTTTGGTTCTGAGGTATGCTAGGACTGTCCCCAGGATCCCTGGCACACTGGAGGTGGACGCAGGATGAGGAATGGGTGTGGGGGCACGCCTGGGAGGTCTAAAAGCAGCTGATGCCACCCAGGGCCACTTGCAAGTGGCCAGCAGTGTGCTTGTTTGATGTCTGAATGCTGTCTCATTACGGTCTGTCTCTGGTCACCCTGCCTCCCTCCCCCACCCCCACCTGGCGGGAGGCGTCTTTTGGCTTCAAGGCCTCAGCAGTACACCAGCCCATTCCATCAGATCTGTGTTGCTTCACCTTCAGCTCTGTCCTTCTGGACCAGTCAAACAGCCTGTACCACACTGGCAGGGTTTTAAGGCTCATGGGATGCTATATTAGTCCCACAATATGTAACTCAGGTGCCTGTGGCCTGCCATGTCATGTCCCTCCTTTCATTAAATCATTTGAAAAATAGTCACAGAACATTCACGGCAAGTACCAAAATCTATACCCCACATGGCTCCTGCCAAACTCAAATGCAATTAGTAACCAGGCACTTTTCAATGAACCACACAGTCCTGTCCAATTTCCATTAAATAATGCACACTGGAAAGGCAAAGTTATTCCGGGCTCTAGCCCTCAGTTTCTTACTCTAAGAATAAGAGACTCCAAATGTGCCAACTCTAACTCCTAGGAGGTGGTGAAATGCCCCTGAAAATGACGAGACACGCAGGTGCAAGACAGCCCGAAGGTCATGGCACATCTGGTGCATTGCCCTGTGAAAGGGGCACAAAGACAGAAAAGCCTGATCAAGGTTTTTTACTTGCTAATCAGAAAAGATGCTGGGGGGAGGGCAGTGATGCTGATACTGATGATGGGCACCGTCACTTATTACTTGAGGTCATGAGTTTAACATACCAGGCTTCTATTTATGGAAACTGGAGGACAAGTGTAATGAATGACAACAGAGACAAAGCAGGTTGACTCAGTGACCACAGCTCTACTCAAAGGGCATCTAATAGGTCCCAAAGTCAGAAGCTGCCACCAGCTACTCTGGAGGACCAGTCACCCTGGAGCCAGAAGCGCCTCTGCCTACTATCAGAGAGACTCAGACAAACATCTCTCTGGAACAATGCAAACAAACCATTCTGTTGCATCACATTGTAGAGTACAGAGTGGGTACACGGTGTCTCCAATCTGCACTGCTCTCGCCTCTGGTTGCAGAAGTAAACACAAGCTATCATCAAACTGTTGCTAAGCCTTTCAAGAACCTGTCACCATCCTGTCTGGAACATTAGCAGTAGGGATACTCTTGACATCCCAGCTTTCCTGTTCCCTACCCCCAGGTCCACCCTACGTAAAAGATGACTCTGCATGGATATCTGTTCTCCAAAGTTCTCCCAGAAAGTACAGGAAAGGGTGAAGCTAAACTGCTCATTCCTCTACTAAACTCAGCTACTGAGAATTCTTCCAAACCAGTTTAACACTGGATTAGAGCCCAGGACACAAGATACCTGTCTCAAAGACATCTCTTAAGCCTTTATTTATACCTGGAAATGTACATGGTCCTCTCTCTGGCATTAGCCAAGACGAGGTCCCGATGACGGACACTGGGAAGAAGTGGAATGAGGAGAAGGAAGGTAATTCAGGAAGCAAGGACCTACTGAGGTCACAACAGGGGGACCTATTAAAAGATCCACCAAGGTGCAGAAGGATATGGATATACTTCAAAGGCCAACTTCCACTAACCTTAGCTCTAAGCACACCTGAAATTCCTGTCCTTGCTGAGGGTCAGTTCTCCCTTTCCAGAGACCCTAAAATCACCTTCCACCACCGTCTGCCCACCTCCCTAATAAAGGTAACTTCACAGCTTCTTCTCACCCAGAGGGAGCCAACCCCTCAATCCAGGGGACCGGAATGTCTGGCCAGATGTCTCTTCCGGGGCCTTATTTTCACAAGCCCTGGGGTTCCTACCAGAAACTTCTCCAGTGCACCCACACCTGGCCCCGTCCTTAAACCATCCTCCCCTTTGTTCTTTAAGGTTACCTCCTTCCCTCACCTCCAATGATCACCTCCCTCCAAACCCCTCTCCTTTAGGAAGTTTCCTTTCCCTTGCCCATCCCTTCCCATGCCCCCTCCTCTCCACTGGACTCCCCTCCCACTCCTCTCCCTTCAAGCGCTTACCAGAGTACCTGGTACACAGTGGGCGCTTAATAAGTGCTTCTTTCCTCCCTGACTTCCATCTCGCCTGCCTTGCAGAGGTCTCCCCTCTCCAGCTCCCGCCTCTCTCCAGGGAGTTTCCCTTCCTGTCCTCCCCTCCCCCCACCCCGGGGTCTCCCTTCGAATCCTCTCCGGACACGCCCCTCTCCTGTCCCCCTCCTGTCACCGCCACCCAGCCATCACGTCACCTCTGCCCTCTTCCCCGCGGTAGGCCTCTGCCTTCCCCTCCGGCCGCGCCTGTCTCGGCCCCGCTCACCTCCAGCGGTTGATGCCCACCGAGGACGAGGCCGCGAACCACGGGTCGAGAATGTAGACGCATCGCACGCAGCGCGCCCCGCGCAGGGCCGCCTGCAGCGCGGGGTTGTCGTGAAGCCGCAGCCCCTTGCGGAACCAGTGTACCGAAGAGGCGCCTTCCTCCGGGGCCGGGGCCGGGGCCGGGGCCTGGGCTGGGGCCGGCGTCGGGGCCGGGGCCTGGGCTGGGGCCGGCGTCGGGGTCGGGGCCGGAGCCGGAGCCGGAGCCGGAGCAGGAGCCGGGGCGGGGGCGGGGGCCGCGGCCGCAGCCGGCACCGTCACCACAGTCGTCGCCGCCATCACAGTCCAGACTGCGGCCGGCGCCGCGGCTCCGCCCAGGTTGGGCCCTCAGGCCCCGCCCCCTCTCGATACCTCGACCAATGGAGCTTTCTCTGCGGTTGCCGGCCCGCCCCACTGCTCTCAGAGAGCCAGTCCTACTGGTTCGGGGCTTCCCGCGGGCTGATTGGCTCAGAGGCCCGGGATCGGTCCCGCCCCGTCACGTTCCCACCATGTGTGTCGGCCCAGGCAGGGGGCGGGGCCCAAGGGCGGGGCGGTGGTGACGCACTGCGCCTGCGTGGGCTGGCGTCCCGAGGGTTTCTGGCTACGTCTGTTTGTCTTATTCCACCCTGGATACCCAGGGAAGCGTCTGGTCCTGGGCCCGCCCGCGCATCGCGGGCATGCGTGCTCCTGCCTCCCGCGAGCAATGCTCCACTTGCAGCTTTTGCCCCACCCTACGGGCCCCGCCTCTCCCTGAGTCCTGTTCTGGATGGGGTGGGGGAGGGGCGGGGGAGTGTCCCCAGCGGGGGCGGGGCCCAGTGGGAGGTGCGAGCCCCCTTAGCTGTTCTCTTGTGGGGCGTGGGATGGGCCTTGGGCTCTCGGCTCTCGGCTCTCGGCTCTGCGGAATGAATGAGCGCTCTGTTAGAGGAGCAAAGCGGTGCCAGCCCTCAGGTTTCCAGGGCCTAGGGGGGCCCTCGCTTTCCCCTTCCTCTTCTTGCTCAGGGTGGGCTAGCCCCCTGAGGAACAGGAAGCACCAGGCAGGCAACCAGCATTTATTAAGCACCTACGGTATGTCAGGCGACAGTATACCACCTGTAAGAATAGGTGCCGCAGGTGCCGTATATACCTATACATACATGCGTACATATTAGATATAGGTACGTAGTATACACACACATACGCAAATGATAATTTATGTACTGCAGGGCTTCTTACCCTTTTGGGGTCACAGACCCTTTGGCAAGTCTGGTGAGCCTTATGAACCCCTTCTCTGAAAAATATTTTTAAATGCATAAAACACATAGGATGACAAAAGAATTATTATATTGAAATCCGGCTATCGAAACGTTTTTTAAAATGAGTTCATAGCTCCCATGTTTAGAACACCTACGTTATACTTCTCTTCCTTCTTTCCTTTCTTGAAACATTGCTAATATGCAAACATTTTGTGTGACTTCACACCTATAATTAATACTATGTTGCTTGCCTTCTCAATGGGTGGGGGAGGGGATGGAGGATGGCAAGAATTGGGAACTCAAAAAAAACTTTTTTAAGGCAATTGGGGTTAAGTGACTTGCCCAGGGTCACACAGCTAGTACATGTCAGGTGTTTGGTCTGAGGCTGGATTTGAACTCATGTCCTCCTGACTGCAGGGCTGGTGCTCTATCCACTGCGCCACCTAGCTGCCCCAGAGCTCAAAATTTTTAAAAAAGAATTAAAATAGAGTGTAATTATTAAAAATAAATAAATTTTTAAAAATTAAAGACCCCTTGCTGTAATAGAATGTAAGCTCATTGAAGGCAGGGACATTTGGTTTTTGTCTCTATATTCCCAGCACCTAGCCTAGCACAGTGCTTGACAGACAGTAGGTCCTTAATGCCTGTCATTTGAGTGATCAATCTTTTCTAACCCTTCCAGAGCTAATATTCTGTATTCTAAAGTCTCTTCCAGCTCTGTGATTCTATGATTCTCCCTATAATAATTTAGAACCAGGAAGTAATACTGGCATTGACCTTTGGGCTAGAGTCCTAATGCCACTTTGGACGTTTGGGGAATTGAAGCAGGTTCAAGGAAGAGCAGAAATGCTTGAAGGAATGACAACCAGTTGGATTTGTTCCATCTGGTGACAGAAAGGCTCAGAGCTGATATAATAACTACAGGTGAATTTTGCCTGGTGAGATTCAGGCAAAAATGAATGTTTTATGTTGCAGGGTGCACAGGTTCCACAGACAAACTGTTCCAAATGGACAATTAGGTAAATTGCCTTACAACTGGGTTTGATGTTTTTTTTAGTGGACTCAATATGGTGTGGACCAGGCTAGGACACTACATTTAAAGTCAAATCCTGCCTTTGAAGTTTATTAGCTATGTGACCCTGGTCAAACTACTTAACCTCTCAGAACCTGTTTTCCTTATTAGTAAAATGGGTTAACAATGGTAATGGAACTCACTGTGAGGATCAAATGGAATGCCTTGTGAGTTCAAATCTGGTCTCAGACACTTATTATCTGTGTGACCCTGAGCAAGTCACTTTACCCTGTTTGCATCAGTTTTCTCATCTGTAAAATGAGCTGGAGAAGGAAATGGCAAACCACTCAAATATCTTTGCCAAGAAAAGCTCAAATGGGGTCAGGGAGAGTCAGACACACACCTGAACAATAACAATGCAAAGTGATTTGCAAATTTTAAAGCCCCTGTCTATATCAGTTGTTATTATGTATTTGAGGACGTCAATGCCTAATGATATTGGTCAGCGCAATCTTATTTAGGATATGATCCTCTATGCCTCAGAGATATACAATTATTGTAAGAAATGTGAGTCATCTGCAGGAATGGGCAGATCAACAGAAGGATGGCTTAGTGTGCAATAAGAGAGGTTTACTGGAAAAGCTTACATGAACTGATGCAAAGTTAAGTGAGCGGCAAAACCAAGAGAACTGTCGTACACAGTAACAGCAATATTGTACAACGATCAACTGTGAATGACTTAGCTACTCTCAGCAATACAATGATCCAGAACAACCCCAAAGGACTCATGATGAAGTATGCTAGCCGCCTCCAGAGAAAGAACTGACAGAATCTAAATGCAGACTGAAGCATGCTGTTTTTCCATCCTTCTTTCCTTCCTTCCTTTTTGTTGTTTGAGTCTTCTTGTATGAAATGACTAATATAGAAACGTTTTACATGATTGCACTTGTTTAACCTATATCAGACTGCTTACCATCTCAGGGAAGGGGAGAGGGAGGGAGGGATGGAGAGAGAGAATTTGGAACTTAAAACTTAAAAAAATGTTAAAAATTTGTTTTAACATGTAATTGTGGAAAAATGAAATTTTTTTTTAAAAATAAGAGAGGTTTAGATTAGGCTTGAAAAAGAACTTTCTATTAGCAAGTGTTTTCAGCACTGGGGCATGCAACCAAGAGAGGGAATACAATCAGAATTTAGCCAGAATTTAGACACTGACCTCAATAAATGTAAAAAAAAACAACCTTGGAGGAACTTTTCCAGGGGTACATCGCAGTTGCCTTGAGGACTGTCAAATTTACCCCTCTGAAATCAGAAAATGCTATAAATCAGAGCTTGATTTATTATAGTTTTCCTGACTATGCAGCAAGTGTTAGTGATATAAATTAAACGTAAAAGCATGTTGTAAGTGCATTTTTTTTCCTCAGAGAGTCAGTTATTAAACATTTATCAGCACACAACCTGAACTCTTATCAGTACCGTGACCAACCAGGATTTTAGAGGACTCACTGTGGCTCTCACCTCCCACTTCAGAGAGATGATGGACTCCAGGAATGGGATGGGATGTGCCTTGTTAGATACGCCAATGTGATCATCTGTATTGTTTCAATGTACTTCTTAGTGGGAAGGAAAGTTAAGGAGGAGGGTGGGGAATCATTGGAAAGTGACAGCAACGTAAAAAAAATTTTTTTTCTTAAAAAATATATTTAAAATGGGACACAATCAGCCTTCTGTACTGTGTGTTTGAGGTATAGTCAGTCAGCAAGTGTTTGTTAAAAGCTTCCTATGTTCCAAGCGCTGTGCTAAGTGCTAGGGTTACAAAGAAGGGCAACAAACAATTATTATTTTTTTTAGTTTTGCCATTTTTATTCTATTTGCATGGCCCAGCCATGAGCACTGTATATTCCATAACAAACAATTCTTTTTTTTTTTTCCATGACAAACAATTCTTAAGGCACTTACGTTCTAACGAGGGAGACTGCGTGTAAATAACTGGGTCATACAATGTATGTACAAAGGAGGTGAAAGCGTTCTGAAAGAAGGTGTTAGCAGCTTGGAGGACTGGGAAAGGCCTACTGAAGAAAGTAGGATTTGAATTGAGTTTTGAAAGAAGACAGGGACACCAAGAGGCAGAGATGAGAACATTCCAAGCATGAGGCACAGTCAGTATGAAGACATGGAGGCTGGAGATGTGAGGAACCACCAGGAGGCTAGTGTACTTGGAGTGTAGAGTTTGAGGGGAGTAAAGAGGCCAGGTTAAATGCCTGATCTGGGAGGTAATAGGGAGCTGCTGGAGCTTATTGGGCGGGGAGGGGAAGAGCTGAGAGAATGGATTGGAGTGAGGAGACACTTGAGGAAGGGACACCAATAAGAAAGCTATTGCAAGTGGATGGAACACCAGCCCTGAAGTCAGTAGCACCTGAGTTCAAATCTGGCCTCAGACCAAACACTGGACACTTACTAGCTGTGTGACCCTGGGCAAGTCACTTAACTCCAATTGCCTTAAAAAAAAAAAAGCTATTGCAAAAATTATAGGATTGGGGTTAGAGCAAGCCAAGCTTAGAAAAGGAGCATGAGAAGACAACCTAATTCTTGGTGGAGGCGGGACATCTACACTGTTCCAAATTGTACATTTTTTTTAAACTTTTTAAATCAAGAATGCTGATTCGTCGTCTTCTTCTCCTCCTTCTCCTCTTCCTTCTCCTCCTCCTTCTTGCTCTTAGGGGAAGAGATACTGGGGGAAATTTGGAAATGTTAAAAAAAAAGATCAATAATTTTTTTAAAAAGAGATGGCTATTGCAATAGTTTGGGCAAGAGGTAATAAGGGCTTGGACTGTGTGAGCAGAGAGAATAAAATCTATGTGAGAGATACTGTGAAGGTCAAAACAATGAGATCTGGCAACTGATCAGCCATGTAGGGGAAGTGTGAGTAGGTCAAAAGGCAGATACCAAGACTGTGAGCCTGGGTGACTGGAAAAAAAAAAGGTGCTCATGACAGTAAATAGGGAAGCTGGTGACAGGGAAGGTTTTTTGGGAAAGGTAAATGGTTCTGTTTTAGA